CGACTACTCCCTCTGGTTCCTCCGCTCGCTCGCTTATACGATATACCGCTATCTTCCATCTTCCGTTCCACGGAAGATCCACTCGACTCGGTGTACCTACCGCGCACCTACCAACCGAACCATCGAGTTTTTCCACCGAAAGGACCACCGCGCAGCGAGGAGAAAGTCGAGTTTCCAACTGTTGCACCCATCCATCCAGGCACCCAACGGTCCCCGGCAAGCTGCTGCGCCTCCTTTATTCGCTCACCGTCTTCTTCCCCCTCCGGTCATCCTCCTCGCGCGCTCCTCTTTTTTCCACCCCTCCGTACTACTCGGATTACCGACGATAAGTATCGGCGCGCACTGCCGTCCGCCGAAATTACGCTCGCCGCAGCTCCCGGCCAAGCGTTTTGATATTCCGCGGCGATAACGCGCATCGAGCCCGGCCGAGTCGAGTCGTCGTCGTAGTCGCTTCGTTATTAAATTTTCCCTCACGGAACCGCGAGGACCGGCTATCCGGGCCTACCGCGCTTCCGTTCATCCAAGGAGAAATTCATTCGTCCCAACGAAATCTCCACCCTCGGCCGGAACGAATCTTCCGAGTTCCGCGCGTGGCCTCTTCGCTCGTCGCCGCCGGCTGCGTCCAGTGCGAAAGACTCTCGCGAGTCGGAAGACTCGGGGAACGATCGTTTCGCGATCTATACGAGTATCAACCCCCTGTGTGCTAACCGAGACGGCGCAGAGGAGAGGAAGAACAACTGCCGGTTGTTGGCAGTGCTAGCCAACGAAAGGGTAAAGTTGCAAAGTTTCGCGAGCAGGACTAGGCTTATAGCGAGATAGAGAGAGAGAGAGAGAGAGAAGAGACAGAGAGTAGGGTGGAAGGAGGGTGCTGGAGGCAGGGGTGAGGAAGCTTCTTCGCGTTGTACGTTTCATTAGGCAGACGAAGGGACGTTGTTCGCTCGGTGTCGGATGCATTGATTTTCGTTTACCCACTCTCCTTCGACGGCAGCTTCCCACTTTCAGCGGCCTCCTTTCGCTCCCGCCACCCACCCCCGAGGGATGTTTCGTTATTTAAACAGATTAGCGATACGGTGGCCCCCGCGGGGAGCGTCTTACGTGTTTCCAATGCGTAGAACGTCGAGGAAATTAATGCTCGTCGTGCAGCAGGCTAGCAGCACGCGTCACCTAATCGCGTTCTCCCCGGCCTTTGCGAGTATCGGCCGGATTCTCTCGAACGGATCCCGATTAAAGCGGCCGTTTCGAAAAGCGAAAAGGGGCACCGATCTCGGAATTCTTTGGCCAAGGTCTTCGACCAATTGGCCGCGCTCCCGGAGTCGAAAACGGTGGTGGTACGGGGAAACTCGTGGGACGACGGACCAGAGAGAGAGAGAGAGAGAGAGAGAGAGGAGATGGTTTTTGGCGAACGACGAGTCGACTGGACTCCTGGAACCGATTCTCTAATACAAATTCATGAACGCGGGGCCAGCCGTTTACCCTCCATTAGAGGGAAGCGCAATCAAAACGGAGAGCCGTGGACCCGATAGACGACGTCGGGATCCGAGCAGCTGTAAATCAAACTACGAAATTCCTCGTGTCTGGTCCTCGCGGTGTCTGCGGACCACGACGGGGCGCCCTGGAAAGTGTTGAGCTTCGCCTCTCTCCTCCGTGTTCGCCGACTCTCCATGCGCAAGGGTGTAATTATGCGTCCGGGGCCCCCGAACCGACCGCGGGCCTCCACCTTCCTCCTTTTCCTCCTCCTCCCCCCGACCGATCGCCCCATTCTCCAAAATCTCTCCCCGTTTCCTCCCTCGCCGGTTTCTGCTCCTCTTCCGTCCACCTCTCTACCCGCCGCGCGTATCGAGTCCGAACCGTGACCGAAATAGGGAAAAACGAAGCATTCCCTTCCGCTCGTTTGCACTCGGATCGTCGGATAACGAGCCGCGCACGGTAAACGACCTCTTCTCTCCTCTTCTCCGCTTACGCCGACCTGTCCGCCGTTATTACCGCGGTTTTTCTCGCGCCGTTCCGTCACCATCCGCCGATTCCTTCGTTTCCCTGCACGCGTACTCGCGCACTCGCGCGCGCTAGCTGCGCCGATTTTGCAACGGCAGCGGCGCCTTTCTCTCGGCGAGCTCGCGGAATTTTTTGTCCGCGTTCTAGAGTCCACGCTCGGAGAATTCGGTCGTTAAATCGCGTGGAATTCGCGCGAGCTAAAGCCGCGACGGCGGCCGCTGGAACGCGCCGCTCGAAAGAAACTCGAGAGCGACCGGCCGTATGCTAATCGCCCTCGCGAATTTTTCCAAGCCGCGTTTCTTCGCCGCGACGTCTCCACTCGCTATCGCGAGTGAGCGAGAACAGCCCCGTTTAATCACCGGACCGGGTCGGTGCGAAACCGAACTTAGCGCGAGTGAAGCTGCGACCAAAGGGGGGTCCTGTCGAGTGTTTGGCGAAGATCGCGACGGAATCGGTGACGACGCGCGGATTTTTCGAGGAGAAAAGAGAGGCAGACTTTTCTTGGCTAATTTCGAGCGAGGTCGTTTGTCGGCGGGCAGAGAGGATGGAAGGACGCAACGCGGATCGTAAAGAGAGCGGCATGAACGGCGGTCGTTGCGATTCTAATTAGAAGGAATTTGGTCGTTCCGGGGCCGAATTAAGCTAATCGGCCGCGACGAACGAGGGTCTCGTCTCGGCTGGGAACGCGCGTGCGGCGAGACGCGGAAACGGAGATCGAGCGAAGAGGAAGCGGCCGTCCGACGAACCGTCGTCGTCGGGGCAAAGGAACGGAGAAAAGCGTTGGTGGAAGGGAGGACCGGGGTGAGAGGCGAACGACCCTCGCAGCGGAGGAAAAAGTCGAGAGCATGAAATTAGTCGTACTCGCGGCACCGAGTATCCCAAGTGCCTCGAGGGCTCGGCTTTCTCTCTCTGCCGTTTTATTCGATAATTATGCAAATGCCGGAATGATTGTCGGGCAATATGTCCTCGGAATAAAAGTCGAGTCGGAGCAATTCGGTTATCTTTATGATTCCGAAACGCGAGGCGGAGCGAGGGATGAAAAGCCGGAGGGGGATGACAGGAAAAAGACGGGGCACCCGAAACGCGGAGACCTCGTCTTCCGGAGCGACGCCCAGAGGAGCGAGAGAGGAGGCTCTTAATTTGCATGGAAACGCCAGCTTCCCGCTTTTCCTCCCCGCGCCACCCCTCCGGGCGACGTCTCCGCGTTAAAAATGTCGCGTCGTTGCCTCGATCGAGACGTTTTTGCGATCGAAGTGATCCGCGAGAGACGATTCGCTCGATCGGAGCGGCGTGGCCGAGTTTGCCGGCGTCGCGACGCTTACGTGACCGCAGGCTCGGCCTATTAAGACGTTCGCGCGGCGATTTAATTAAGCGGCTACGACTCGACCCTGGCGGACCGCGAAACCGTACGCGCCGGATCGTCGTTATTTATTATTAAAATATATTCCCTGTCGAAAGGGTGGAGCTCGGGCCGACCAATGGGCACCCGTCGCGTGCCTCGAGTCGTTAGGGTGCTCGGAAATTGATAAGAGTGCATCGTCGCACGCCGTCGCCGCTGCTCGCCGCGGCCTTTGATCCTTCGTGCTCCGACGCCGACGCTCGACGAATCTATCGCGCGGAATCCGGTAATCGCGACGCCGAGCGTCGTTCGAGCCTTGGCTCATAGTACCCCTTCTTCTTCTACGCCCTTCCCCCATTATTCCTCGCCGCGGAAAATACTACCTTTTTTTTTTATTTTTCACCCTTGCTTCCTGCGCTGCTGCCTCTTTTTCTTCCCTCTCTTCTCCCTCTGCTCTCTCGCTCTCCTCTCCGACCACGTCGCTAGGGGTACGAGGTCGAGGGACGCGCGACTGCGCTTGGGATAGGGTAACGGGCAAGAGGGGTAGACGCAGAAAAGACGGAAAGTACAATAACAACTATTTATTTATAGGTAATAATGCTGAATTACAATGAATACACTTTTTTGCCTCGATACTAGATTGTATAAGTCCGATCGCGAAATCGTCATCGCTCGTCGTCATCGTTACTCGGTAGTGTGGCGATACTGCTTTTCCCCACCCGACCCCCCGACCCACGAGTTTCTTTCCCCTGTACGCAACCCGCCCCGTTTACCCACCCCGTTTCCTGCCTATTTTCTTTCCTCCTTTTTCCCTCCTTCTCCTTCTCCTCCTCCTCCTCCTCCTCCTCCTGGATCGCGCGTTCACGCGAATTTACCCGACTCGCCGATCGAGAATCGCCGGTAAACCGTCTCTGCCCCCTTGTTTTTTTCCTCTTTTCGTTCCTCCTTCTCGCTCGCTTTCGTCCTCGTGCTCGCCCCCCGATTCGCCATTCCCGCGAATCGAATCGAATCGAATCGAATCGAACGGAATCGAGTCGAATCGGACGGAATGGAACGGAATCGGTTGGAATCGTATGGACGGTTCCGCGTCGCGCCGGCGATCCTCCATCGCGAGGATTTGACCCCGTTCGATTGGTAAGTGCGGCGATGGCAAATACAGATGAGCTATCGGTGGTTAAATTCTCGTTTCACTACGTGTAGCATCGTCTTAACGGGCTTTAGCCGGTACGTACGATCTAGACACTATGATTATGTGAACTTTACAACACAAGAACCTTACGGGCAAAAGACTTTGTACATGGATCTTAAATACGGGGATCGGCCTCGGGGAAATATTCGTCGCGGTTCGGCTCGGGCGCCCCCTACCTCCATGGCCGCGCCGCGTCCATCCTTCCACCGGAAATATTTCGCCGAGCTACGGCCGATCAACGCAAACGCGGGACACACGCAATATGCATTAGCCTTACTTGTCGACGGTAGTAACTAAGTTTATTTATATAAATAAGGTGTTACGATTTAAAACGCACGGGAGAATACTCCGATGTTTCTCCACTTTTATCTCTCTCTCTCTCTCTCTCTCTTTCTCTCCCGAGATCTTTCGAATAATTTACTTTGCGCGATACCGACGCGACGCCGCGCAAAGTTTATTTATATAAATAAGGTGTTACGATTTAAAACGCACGGGAGAATACTCCGATGTTTCTCCACTTTTATCTCTCTCTCTCTCTCTCTCTCTCTCTCTCTCGCTCTCGCTCTCGTACACGCATTCAGTGCTGCTCTCGTCTCCGATCTCGATCGAAGCGTATTTTCTATCGTTCTAACGCTAATCCAGCTTCGATAACGCGAATCCTCGCTACCCTCCTCTCTCTCTCTCTCTCTCTCTCTTCGCCAATGACGCACATTCACACAGCTTCCTCTCGCTCTATATGATACAGAATAATCGAGTCGCGGCTGGTCCGCGAAACTCCTCGAACTTCGACTCGTATATCACGGTGCCGCGCGTAATCCGTGCCCCCCGGCTGAGGACGAGTCGCGTTTTGCACGGTCCGTCGTCCGATGATAGGAAAAACGGAAAAGCGGCGCGACGGTTGGCCGGTCACCGCGGCCAAGCGAGCCCTCCTCGGCGAGGGTTACCTTCGGCGCGTCCGCTTCCTATTCCTCTTCGCCATCGCGCCCGTCGACGACCGGGCGCCATCGTGCTGCACCGCCGACGGGGAAATAATATTAATAATAACGATAATAATACTCGAAACCGAGACGGTGCGCCCGATCGTCCGTACAGCTTAACACGAGATTAGCTAATTGAAGTCGCTCGATAATTAGGAGATAGGTACCTCTAGGAACGCATGCACGCGCGCACGCACTCTCAAGCAGTCTTTAGAAATATTCTCTCGTCTCTTTCTCTCCCGGATTCGAAACGGTATCCGTGCCTCGTGCTTTCATCCTCCTCCTCCGCCATTTCCTCCTCCTCGTCACGCTCGCTCTCGCTCGCGTACGCGAAACGCGAGAGTCACGCGCGGTTTCCACTGTCCCTGTCGTAAATCGATATATCCTTGGACGCGGTGTACGCGAGCGTACGCTACGCGTTTCTGGCCAACGACTCTCGGCGAAAAGCACCGCGATCGCGACACGTGCCGGCTCTACTCGCGTAACTCGCGTCGCCGAGAAACGACCGAACGAATGCGCCTCGTGCCTCGTTGATATGTGTTTCCACTCCTCGCCGCTCGCGCGAGCTCCGGCCCCCGAGAGGGGGGCCACACCGAAAAAACGACGAGTCGTCTTCGTTTCTTCTCTTCCACGCGCGTGTCTCCGCTCCGTGTCACACGCTCCACTCCACTCCACTCGTCGCGCGCACTCTCTCCTCCGTGCGTCCTCGTCCGTTCGCGATCCGCGTAACCCCGAGTGGCCACTGTCTCGCGCGCCGTAATCGGGTCGTCACGCGCGAACAAGCTACGACCAAGAGTCCGAGAGTTTCCTCGCGTTTCGCTCGCTTCCATCCTCTTTCCACCTCTCCCCCCCTCTCTCTCTCTCTTTCTCTCACGCTCGCTCTCGCGTACTCTCTCCCTCTCTCTCTCTCTCTCTCTCCCCCGTTTCCCCGATCGATCGCGATCACTCGTTTTGTTGGCTGCTCGCTGCTACGCGCTCTGCTGCCCCTCTTCTGCCGTCCTCCAGCCTCTTCTAGGTTGCGCTCGTGAACAGAACGGAGTTCTTGTAGTAACCCGTTCGGGATTCTGAAACAGAAGCGGACGGTGAAGGGAGTTGGGTGTCGTCGCGGTCGTCGCGCTGCCGCGTCTCGCGCCGGGTACCTACGACCACGCCAGGACGCTTGCTGAGGCGAGGGCGGATAACGCGAGAGATTCCGCTGCCGTTCGTGGACCACAGGCGATCGGCCGATTCGCGAATAAGAGAGAAGACCGAGCGAATGATTCGATGATCGTTCGGCTGGAAGCGGCGCCGCTCACTAATTATCCTTGCCTCTCGAGACGCGGGTGAACGCGCGGGGGACGAGGCGCGGACATCCGGCAGGAGGAAGAAACCAAGAGAGAGAGAGAGAGAGAGAGAGAGAGAGCGAGGCATGGGTCCTATCGGGCGCGTTCGTAAATACGAGACCGGTCGACTCATCGGCCCTTAGGGCGCCTTTGTGATCGAGCCGCCACTCGACTTTTTATCGAACTGTCGCTTATGATTGAAAATCACCACGCGCTTTAATAGTCCACCGGACTCCATTTACTCGAGTTTCTTCGGCCGTGTCCGGCCCAACGGTTCCCGAGCTACACACCGTCCTCGCGGTTCTTACCCTCGGCGACTCGCAAATTGCGCGCGCGGACCTGTCCCACGGCTCGACCTCGCGAGATATTCCCGAAACCGTTAATTTCGGAAAAAAAGGGGGGGGGGGG